CACGGGATAAGAGTAAAAAAAAACAACCAGAGAGAGTACAGCTGGAGAGTAAATCTGGAGTAGACCCAAATGCAGTAGCAAGGGATGTGAACAGTGCACTCGGACAACCTCAAAGGAGTAGATTACGGGTTCCTCTGGTCGAACGATCCAGATAACTGGACATCCTTCAATCTACTCGTGTAGGAGTGGCGCTTAGTCTCCAGGACGCCGAGGCGGGAAGCCAAACCGGCGGACACCCTTCATTCTTTTGGTTGTTGCTACGAAGGATCATAAGTAGTTTATTTTAACCATTCTTCACTGTTAAAATTGCTTCTTCCTCACCTTTAGACTACTACTCTCTCTTCATCCATAACGTTGTTTCTTCTCTGCAAGCTTTCAGATTTTAATTTTTCAGGTACATACAAGTATTTTCTACTATTTTCATTCATCCAACTGTTTAATGCAAAAAGACAAATTAAGAAAAATTTAATAATTTATTACAGTATATACGCTGTTTTGTTTATCAGATGTGTTTAATTAACTAAATTCTTATAGTTTAATTTCCTTACATATGAGGCTCAAAAAAAAAAAATCCTTACATATTTATTTTTCTTCTCTTCATTTGATATCAGTTATTTTTGCACCAAATTAATTATCCTGCACAAGGAGTATGGAGGTTTGCCGGCTTTCTTTGCTATTTTAATCATACGATTTTTCAAGTCCACAAGCCCGGGACAAGGTATTTCCCTTTTCCCCTTTTTATGAAAGAGTCTAGAGTTTAAACATCATTTAATATAGTTGTGATTCCTGAGTTTTTTTGTTTTGATTTATAAAAATTTAGAAACCCTAAAATAAATTTAAGTAATTTTATAAATCAATTAGGTTTGGAGTTATGAATATTTGTTTTAAAATTTTATATTTAATAAGTTGAAAATTTTAATTTTAATTTTGATATTTAGTTGTTAATTTTGATTGTTTAAATTTTGAAGAAAATAAAACCAAAAACTCAAATCACAACCATACTAAACGAAGGCTTAAATATATTATACAATAATAGTGCATATCAACCCCGATTTTTAAAAAAAATTTAGAGTTTCATTTTTAAAAACATCATTTTTTAATTAATATTTTTAAAAACCAACAATTAGATTTATTGTTCTATTCAATGTTTTTAAACTCAAATTGAAGGTCAAACCATTTTGACCTTTGGTTCATGGTTTGAATAGTTTAGTTGGTTTAATTGATAAAACCATCAGGTTGATCAAAATATTATAAATATATTATTATGCAAAGTATTACATACGGTTTTCTTTGGGTGCAGTGGTAGGTGGTTGATTCATTATGTGAAAGATCACAAGTTTGAGTCACTTGAGAACAAACTTTAATATAATTGTGGTTTTAAAAATATAATAAATTTATTGTAAAGCAAAAATTTGCTAATAAAAGGTTGTGTCTCAAGGGGAAGAGTTTTTGTTTCATAATATAGAGAATGAGTATTCAAATCCCATGGCTGTCATCAATAATTTAGTTAAAAATTTTGAGATTTCTATTAGATAAATAAAATTTCAAGCACCCCTTGACACAAGTATGGCGTTGTTCTAGTGGCAAAGGTTCGGAATACGGACTTGAAGATTGTAGGTTTAAGTCTTGCAAGGACAAATTTCTCATGATTTTATGCCCAGCATTAAACTGTCCGGTTGAACGATTTTAATAGTTCTTATCGGTTTCAAATGGTTTAAAAAGTTCACCTAAACTGTTTATGGTACCGGGTATCAGTTTAATCGATTTGATTGGTCTGATTTGATTTTTAAAACTATGGTTCTATTCATATAAATTATGAAAATATCAAATTTCAAATAGATTGAATATATATAACTAATTTATTAATTATAGAAAATTTACCACTCTCAAATATATATTAGAAAATATAAGTTTCTTCAATAAAATGATTTTAAATGTTAGATTAACTTGAAAATAGATATGCATAATTTATATTAATGAAACATTAAATTTAATGGTTGGTTTTTGAAAATATTCATTAAAAAGGGATGTTTTTAAAGTTGAGACTCTAATTTTTTTTTTTTTTTTTTACAAATTGAGATTGATACACACATTTTTCCCTTAATATATATAGTTTGCTTTTCATAAAATAATTATATATGAAGGAAAAAAATGCTTGCAATTTAGCATACAATTAAAAGTCTAAGCTATGTTTGGTTGGTGTCTTGGTGATGGTGATTATAAAAATAACATAAATTTGAGAAATTTTTTAAGAATAATTAGTGTCAATTATTTTATTTAAAATAATAGATTTTTTAAATTTCTTCTTTATATTACAGATTTGAGAAATTTTTTAGTTTTACCTATTTTACCTCTAAAAAAATAAAAACAAATTTTTTTATAATATATATGATGGATAATTAAAGTTAGGAGATAATGATAAGGTTAAATAGAAAAAAAATATTTATCTCCTGTAAAATATGAAAAAATGACTAATATTTTAAGACAAACTTTAAATACAAAAAATATCTATTATTCTAAGACAAAAAGAATAATATTGCTAATTTTCTAATAAACTAAGGTATGAATAAGAATAGGTATTCCTCCCATTTTTAAAAGAAGATGTATTCCCTAATTCTTTGCTTTTGTAGTGACAGGAATTTAAATATTATGTTTTGGTTATTATCCTTTGAACTTTCCCAATTTTAATTTATTTTATAGTTTGACGAAGATATAGTAACTACCACCAAACAAATAAGTTATAGCATAGCTTAACAAATCTCATGTTGATAAAACAAAGTGAAATAATAGTATATAAATCAACATTTGCTAACCATATTTACAGATTTAAAAATTGTGAGAACCAATAAATCAAAATTTATGGTATTGCAATGGGTCGGCCCCTTTCGACAAGCATTAAGTACTTGGAGTAATTTTCTTATTCAAATCTTGTCATTTGATATAAGTTTTAGATAGGGTGATTCAATATAGTAGTTAACAGTTTTACTTAAATTATTATATAATATTTTTTTATAAATTTTTTGTTTCTTAAGTAATTTTACATAGCACTTGCATTTTTTTCTCACCTCACATCAGTAATAAATGTTAATTTATTATAATTAAATTAATTTTAATTAATATTTTATATTTTTTAATAATTATATACATATACAATACCTTTTTAATATAATTATTAAACACTAATATAAACTCTGTTTGATTTAGTTATGTCAACAACATTTAACGATTAATACTACTAATAATTTAAAATATAAAGTTGGTAATATTTTTTACAAAGGCAATGACATAATTTACATTGTGGGTAGCAAAGGAAGTACAACTGTACAACTCCTAGAAAACTAAGATTTTTTTTAAAGAAGTTAGGATATGTAGTTTTTAAAAAATTTTATTTAAAAATCATTTTAAAAGACTTTAAAAATTTTTTTAAATAAAAATTTAAATTTATTAAAAAATTACTTTTTAAGAACTTAATTTTTAAATCTGCTAAAAATCCTTATTGCTACTTTTATTAACAAAACTTTATTTTTCCATATAGGGGGCATATATGGTATCAACCTGTAACTATTTAACATTTTAACTTCCTTTTCAAATTTCTTGCGTTTCTGTCGACGAACATCTATCCCCTGCTTTTTCCAAGTATTTTCCAGGAAATTAAGCATTTGTCCTGCATTTTTCTAGGCATTTTCTAGGAAGGGGGAAAATCCTTTTGGGTGTTGCTACGAAGGTTCACAAGGATCAAATAAGATCTTAATTTTCCAGGTACATATATACATACATGCATCTTGTACTATTTTCACTCATCCATCTTCCTAATCAAGAAACAATTTATTTTGGCCATTGTAAGCACACTACCTGAATTGAACATTTTAATAAGACTCTTTTTTATTTTATTTTAGATATTCCCGTCATGGAGCCCATTGTAGGGGCAATTCTTGAAACTGTAGGTGAACATGTAGATTGTCACAGAAACTTCCAAAATGATGTGAATGATCTCAGAAAAAGAGTGGCAGATCTAAAACGCAGAAGAAATGATAAAGTAGCAGAACTACAAATTCTGGATCACTCAGAAAAACAGGTTAAAGAAGAAGTGCGGGGATGGCTTGAAGATGCAAGGAGGGTCATTGAAATTGAAATGCCAGATATTGAAGAAGAGGTGCAGAATGTTTCAAAATTGTCATGGGGCAGCCTTGGAAGAAGTGTTCGTCAAAAGATTCAAGAGGTGAGGGAAATTTATGATCGAGGTTGTTTCCCTGAAGGTCTCGTAATTGAAAGACCTCCACCTATTGGAATCACTTTGCCAACAGAGAATATGGTGGGTGAGGTTGATGTGAAGGAACAAATTTGGGGATACTTGGGTGAAAATGAGGTTGGAATAATTGGAGTTTATGGAATTGGTGGAGTTGGCAAAACTACTATTATGAAACATATCCATAATGAATTATTGAAAGAGGCCCGGTTTGATAAAGTAATCTGGGTCACCGTGTCACAATCACCAAATGTTGTGAAATTACAAGGTGACATTGCTAGGCAAATGGACAAAAGTCTTCCACAAGATGGGGATGAATTGAACCGAGCATCAATACTGACGAATATTATGAAAACAAAGAAATAAGTATTGATCTTAGATGATGTGTGGGATAAGTTTACTCTTCAGAGTGTTGGAATCCCAGAACCAACAACAGAAAATGGATGCAAAATAGTTATTACCAGTCGATCAAGGGATGTATGCCGCCAGTTGTGTCACAGAATAGTTAAAGTGCAACCTCTGTCTGATCAAGAGTCTTTGAACTTATTCTTGGAGAAGGTGGGTCAAAACATTCAAAATATTCCCAATTTGAAAGAGACATTGAGGCTTATAGTGAAGGAGTGTGCTGGTTTGCCACTCGCGATTGTTGTGATTGCTGGGAGCATGAAAGGAGTGGAAGATATTCGTGAATGGAGAAATGCATTAAGGGAGTTGCGCAAATGTGTAGTTGGTACAGCTGAAGGTTCGAGGGGTGATGAAATATTTAATCGTTTGAAGTTCAGTTACGACCGCCTGCCAAATTCAAACATCAAGAATTGTTTCTTATATTGCTCGTTATACCCTGAGGATTGGGAAATTAGCCGAGCAACTGTAATTGAAGATTGGATTTGTGTGGGACTTATTGAAGAATTAGGGAGCAGGCAAGAAATGCATGATAAAGGGCATACTATTTTAAATAGGCTTGAGAACAATTGTCTGGTGGAGAAAGGCCTTGGAGAGGGACATGTTAAGATGCATGATGTTTTGAGGGACATGGCATTGCACATTAAGAGTATCGGTCCGAATAAGTTTATGGTGGAAGCTAGCATGCTATTGAAAAATATACCAACGGAGAATGTCTGGACTCAAGATCTGGAGAAGGTTTCCCTCATGCGGAATGACATCTCATATATTCCTGAAAATATGTCCCCCAAATGCTCGATGCTCTCAACCCTGATTTTGGAAAATAATAAAAAACTGAGAGAAATTCCAGAGTGCTTTTTTGCAAACATGCCCCTGCTGAAGTTTCTGAATCTTTCTGAAACTGGCATAGAGGTGCTACCGAATTCTATATGTAACCTGGAAAAGCTTACTGCACTGATCCTTCATGGATGTGAGCATTTAGAATGCATGCCTTCCTTGGCAAAGCTTAAGGCACTAAAGAAGCTCGATTTGTGGAGGGCAGGCCTTCTGGTGGTCCCTGAAGGCATTGAAATGTTGGCAAATCTTCAGTATCTTGATTTATGTTGTCCCCACCTGAAGGAGCTACCGACAAGAATGATCAGTGAGCTCTCCTGCCTCCAATACCTATGCAGATATAAGCTCTCAACTGAAGAAACATTGAGAGGAGAAGCAGCAACATTAAAGGAGCTGGAAAATTTTGAAGGTGGTTTCTCTGATCTAAAAGACTTCAACTATTTTGTTAGTAAGTCAAAGCACTTTTTGGGAGGACTCAATCATTATGTGCTTGTAGTGGGAGGATTTGAAATTCCGTGTTTTAATCATTCTCGGTCTTTTGAACATAATTATTGTTTCAAAAGGGTAATTTTAGTCAAATGCAAGATAAGAGGAGAAGATGATTTAGTGCTTCCAGATGACCTTCAAGTTTTGAGTGTTGGGGACTGCAACACTGTCAGTGATATTTCTACTTTCATGAAAAACACAACTCAGTTGCGAAGCTATTATTTGGAACAGTGCAAAGGGATAGAGTGTGTGGTCTCCTCATCATCCTTCACATTTATGAATAACCTTGAACAACTGTCTCTTTTGGAATTGGATAGCTTGCAAGATCTTGTGAAAGTGGAAAAAACAACAGCATCGCCTGCACTAACAATATCCCCTTCCATCTTTTCCAATCTTAAACATTTGACTGTATGGTGCTGCTCAAGAATAAAGAAGTTGTTTCCTTGTGAGCTGCTACAGAGCCAGGGCCTCCAAAACTTGGAGCTGATTAAGGTGATATCTTGCGACATGATGGAGGAAATAATAGGATGGGAAGATGAGGAGGAAGGAAATGAAACAGTTTTCACTCTTCCAAAATTAAGGAGATTGCACTTGGAATCGCTACCAGAATTGAAGAGAATCTTCCCAGAAAGAGGAAAAATGGTTTGTGATTCTCTCAATTCCATTGTAGTGTGTGATTGTCTTAAGGTAAAGAGGATTCCCCTTTGTCTTGTTCACAATGAGCAACCAATTGGTCATCCTGCTCTCCAAGAAATCAAGGTATATCCAGAAGGATGGTGGGAATCACTGGAGTGGGACAATCCTAACGCCAAGAATATCCTTCTACCTTTAGTCATCAAGTAAGTCACCTTTGTCTTCATTTATTTTTCTCTTTTTCGATCACATTATTTCTGAAATGTTTCATCTCTATTTACAAATATTTTTTTGGTTCAAAAATAAATGTAATCTTGGTACAAATCCTGTTCTAAATCAGAATGTATCCAAATTACAGGACGAGACCACCCGGCCAACTCTATCCGGCTGAAAATCTGAACGCGTAAGTCCCTTTTGTCTTCATTTACTTTTCTCTTTTTCTGTCACATTATCTCATATATATATAAGTATTTCATCTCTTTTTACGAATAGTTATTTTGGTTCGTAAATAAATTGTATCGTGGTACAAATCCTGTTTTAAGGATTGGAAGTGTCAATCTCCATCGATTTGCTTCTAAGATGTCTATCTCTATTAATCAGATTCTATCCTCTTTTTAATTAACTGTTACAGTTATCCATGTGTGATCATGTGAAAGTGGAAGGAACAGAAACCACTCATGCATTGCCTGTGCGTACGAACATCCCCTCACATCCTTTCTCAGTTAGAGAATTTTTTATAATTATTAGTTGCTCAAGAATGACGAATTAGTTCAAATTTGAATGGCTGCAGGATCTTCAAGTTCGTGGTTGCAGATGTTGAAGCCAAATGGAACGGTGCAGCAAGGTTATTGTTCATATCAACTGTTCATGTCTAGTTCAGTTTTATTAAGTTGATAAGAAGTTCCTTTGTTGATTTTCCAATGTAATCTTGTCTTTTTGATGTTAAGTGTTTCATCCCAGCATATGGCTTTGCTTTAATTGTATGCTCCTTGTTTTGGGGTTTATCTATCATTATTCAAAGGTAGTAAATGAACACTGTACTGTAAAGATTTATACATACAAAAAACTAGTTTGTATGGATGAAAAATGCATGGAAATTAATTAAAATATCTTAGCGTCATGTGTAACTTTTATGTTATTTTTTTCTTTTAATTGCATGCTGTTATTTTCTTCTTTTTATTGAATGTTTCTCAAGATTATCCGTTTGATTTGAATCAATTTTACTAATTGATCTTACAGTTTTACCATGGAAGAAATAATAGCACAGAAAGAAGAGGAAGGAAATCAGACAAGGGATGGAAGTCACTCTTCCAAAATTAATCTATTTAATTTGGGATTTATATGACTCACCAGAATTGAAGATAATACCAACGAGAGGTTGGATCAAGTGGCAAGCAGCTTGTTCCAACTTAAGCAAGGTCTCGAGTTTGAAACCTTGTGTACGCAGTAGTTTTCGTTAGGAGATCCACCTACCATCTTGGTGCGTCACAGCTGGTCGAGTCCAGAGTAGTCGGGGTGAAACCCCGGATACCGGGCGGGAAACCAAAAAAAAAAAAGAATTGAAGATAATCTACGGGTTATGGTTTGTTGTTCTCTTTATTTTCACATTCTAAATCAACTTTTTATTTCCTTGACTAAACTTGCTGGTGCAAACCCTGTTTTGTCAAGTTGTTTTTCCCTTTATTTATTTTTTTGCCCTCCAAAATAGAAACGGGTAGTGTAGGCTAAGTTACTAAAAAAAATTATGTATTGTAGAATTTTTTAAAGTATAAACGATATAATTTTTTTATAATTCTATAAACAAAACAATAGATAGAAAAGAGATAGAGATTTAATTTATTAACACTTTATTAGAGTTCTAATTTAAAAGAAAATTATCTCTTTATAAAAAGATTATTCTTTTATTTCTTTTTAAAATCAATCTAAAAAATATAAGTCACCTGGCCCTTGTGGCCTAATGGCATTAGCCACCGTTGCATTCCCCCCACGGGCAGTGTTCGAAACCTGCTCCTTGCAAAATATGTTCAAAAAAAAATCTAAAAAATATAAGAATTTAAATTTTCAATTGTCCAACTATTGGGAATTGGTAACCGGGAACTAACCAACCAATGTTTTGAAAATTAGACCAAATTGATCGGTCAGACCAATTGAACCGATACTCGAGGGTACAAATGGTTCGATTGTATCTTTTAAACTGTTTGAACTGTAAACCTTTTGAAATCGATAAAAATCTTTGAAACCACTCAAACCAATAAACTGTTCGACCGAATGGTTCAATGGTTGGGCATAAAATCTTCAAAATTTTGTCTCTCGCGAGACTTGAACTCACAACCTCGAAACCTTAATTACGACTGTTTACCACTAGGACGATGCCATCATTATGTCATTGAGTACTTGAAATTTTATTTATCAAAATAACTAAATTATTGATGACAAGTATGGGATTCGAATACCCATTCTTCATAATATAAAACAAATACTCAACCACTTGAGACACTACTTTTCATTTGTTATTTTTTGCTATACAATATATTTATTCTATCTTTAAAACCACAATTATATTAACTTGTGATCTTCCACCTATCAAATCAGTCACCTACCACTGCACCCAACTAACACCTTGTGAAATATTTTGTAGAATAATATATTTATAATAGTTTGATCAACCCGGCGGTTTTACTGATTAAACCGGTTGAATCGGTCAAATCGTGGACCAGAGGTCAAAATGGTTTGACCTCCGATTCGGGTTTAAAAACATTGTAACCAACAATTTAACATTATAACTATATCACCACGTGTCATCTTTATGGGAGAGATTGTGCGGGCGAGTGCTAGGGGGCGAGTGTCCCTAGCACTGCTCAAAACAGAAACACCAAACCACAGAGAACAGTGTTAGTTGCAGTTGCTTTAACACTCACTATTTGACACTCGCCCTCCCATTTTGCCACCTCACTTCTGCTTTTGAAAGATGCACCAGAAACCGGCAAAAAACAACATGTAGCTCTTTACCTTACAAAATTGGTAGGTTTTAGCCCCTCACTTTATAATATGACAATTTTAGCCCTTCATCTTACAAAGTTGATAAGTTTTAGCCCTTCACCTTACAAAATTAGTAGGTTTTAACCATTTACCTTATATTATGATATTTTTAACCCCTCACCGATACGAATTAAAAAAAATAACCTTCACTTAATATCAGGTTATAAAGTTCTGTTAGCTGACTGTTAACATCCGTTAGCATTCTATTATAAAAAACATGAAATTTAAATTCATTTTTATTTGTTAGTTCCATTAACAGAATGCTAACGAATGCTAACAATCAACTAACAGAATTAACAGTCAGCTAATAAAACTGACAGTCAGTTAACATAATTAATAAAATATTATAACTTGATGTTAAATAAGGGATATTTTCTTCAACTCGTACATATAAAGGGCTAAAAGTATCATAATATAAGGTGAGGGGTTAAAACCTACCAACTTTGTAAGGTAAAAGGCTAAAAGTGTCATATTATAAGGTTAGGGGCTAAAACCTACCAATTTTGTAACGTGAGGGGCTAAATGTTGGTTTTAGCCTCGGAAACCAAACTGAACAGCAAGGATGGCAATTTTCTTCGATCCCCGTGAGACCCCGCGGGGATCCCCGTCATGAGGACTAGGCGAGGAGGAATATTTCTCCCTGCGAGGCGAGGAGGAATATTTCTCCCTGCGAGGCGAGGATGGGGAGCATTTTCCCCATCAAAATTTCACGGGGAATTTTCCCCACCTCCTGGGGCCCCGCGGGGATCCCTATCCCCACAAAAATTAAAACAAATATAAATTAATTTTGTTTTAAATTTAATTCACCTTTCAAACCCAAACTCAAGTTCAAACTCAAGTTCAAACCCAATTCAATCAAAATTAAATTTAACCCAATTTTACCCAACCTAACCCAATCCATAAAAATTAACCCAACGCATTCCGCTACAGACATTTAACCATAACCCTAATTCATTTCCCAATTTTCATTTCTCAATTTTCATTTTCACCTTCTCTGGCTTTGCCTCTCCTTCTATTATGCGACTCTACCATCTGATTGCCTTCCATTCCATTGCCACCCTTCTACAATTCTACCCTTGCCCTTCTTAGTGCTCACCTTCTGCCGCCCCTTATTTTCTCCTTTACACCAGTCGGACCATCTCAAATCCCATTCCCTCCACTGCACTGCTGGTCTGCTGCTGCCAAAGCCATCTGCCTGTTGTTGCCAAACTGTCGAAGCCATCTACCTGCTGCTGCCAAACTGTCAAAGCCATCTACTTGCTGCTGCCAAGCTGCCAAACTGCCGAAGCCATCTGCTTGCTGCTATCTGGACTACCGAAGCCATATGTGCAACTGTTGCGGCCTTGCCCTTCTTGGTACTGATTTTCTTTATTCTCAAAATACTGATTTTTTTTTTCATGTTGGTTTAATTATTTTATTTATCTTCGATTAATTTTTGCTTATGTTTGAGTTCAGCTTGGATTAATCTTTGTTTATGTTTGGAACAAATTTGTTAATTGTTGGTTTAGTTATTTATGTTAAATTGATTTTTATTTATATCTGATTTTATATTTAAAAATTTTAGTTAATTGTATTTTAATTTTTAAAATTTTATTCATTATAATTGAATATTAATTAATTATATATAAAAGACAAAAAAATTTATAATTTAATATTAATTAGTAGGGAATTGGGATCCCCGTGCGAAACAAGAACGAGGAGCAAAATCTGCCCCCTGTCAAAAATTCCTGTGGGGATCCCCGTCCCTGCCATTCATAGGGACGGGGATGGGGATGGGGAGAGACTCCCCGACCCTGCAGGGCCCCATTGACACCCCTACTAAACAAGTCACTTATTAAACAACAAAATAGGGTTAATGCCAACTATCATTCCTCTACTATCATTCCTCTACTATCAAAATAGTTCAATTTAAACCTTCTATTTTCAAGTTGCCTCATGTCCTCCTTCTATTATGAATTAACTACGCATGTCCCCCCTCTACTATTGGAAAATGTATTGATGTTGTCCCTCCGTCCAAGTTTCGTCCAATATTGGGTTAACAGAAGGTTTATTGACCATTAACATTAACATTAACTTGTACATATATCCCATCCCTTTTTTCTTTTTTAACACTTGGGCTCTATGGGCCCCCCAGTGCCACATCAGATCCCCTTTAAATTCTTTGCCGGCACTGTGCAAGCATCAAAATCCCCAAAATTTTTCCTTCTCTTCGATCTCAATCGCGATTTTCTGAGAAACCCTAGAACTAATCCTTCAAATCCATCAACAATCAACCAAAATCACCAAAATCAGTAACCGGCACTGTGCAAGCATCAAAATCCCTAATTGTTTTCTTCTCTTTGAACTCATTTGTCCTTCGAGTGATGCAGCACGAGCCCGAGCTCATGTTCGACACCCTGAAGCACCGTGTGGATAAGTTTTGTGGGCCAACACAACAATTCTAGCTAGGGGTGGGCAAAAATCGGGAAATTGTAATTTCCCGTCAGTATGTAGCGAGCTTTCGAGAATCGGTATCAAGACATGTACCGATAGGAACAATAAACCGGTACAAAAATGATGCCGATTAATATTTTGGGACGGGATTCGGATTCTAACTTTAAAATACCGAATACCATACCAAATACCGTATATTATAATTAAATATTTTAAATATATTTATAAATTAATTCATTAAAAAATTAAAATAATTAAATATTTCTAATTTAATTGTAAATACAAAACAGTCCTCGTCAAAAGAAAAAACCCTTAATATTTTTATCAGTCGGTTTACCTTCTACGCTTCTACCGACTATGCTCGTCTACGGTTTCCTCCTCTCACCCCGACGACGACTCTACAATTGCGAGCAGGCAATGACGACGACTGGCGCTGTGACTAACGACCAAATACGACCACCAGTAAGTCTTGAAACCAGAATACTAGAATAGTACACACTTTTCTTGATCTTTCTTCAAAAAATGGGTATGATTTGTATGAATGTGTGATGTGCAAATTCTTAAAGAATTCCCTTTTAACTGCTTTGAATCCAAACAAAAATTTAAAAGATTGGAAGTTTTATTCTTGCAAAACTTGAAAATTGAAATAATAGAGAAACAGAGAGAGTACAGGGAAAACGAGAGGTGAGAAGACAAGTTGGAAAGGATGAGAAAGTGAGATTGTGAGAGAATCGCATACCATGCTCCATCTCTGTGATGCTGCTTTGAGGCTTTACTTTTTTATATGTGTTTCTTCTGCCAAATTAGAAGGAAAAGCCAAAAGTATTTTGCTCATCTTTGAAAAAAGGGGTTTTGTGAAGAAAGACGGAAGACCATGTGATTAAAGAAACAGAAGGAGGACAATAAATTATATAATTGCTTGCAAGAAGCCAAATCCCAAATGGGTCCATCCATCCGTGTGCAAATGGCCCACCACTATGCCAATGCTTTTATTTTTATTCATTTGACATTGAAGATTTTCAAATTTAGAACTTTAGAAGTATTTTTACTTG